TTTTGTCCAGTGTGTCCATACTATATACGCCCCTGGCAGTTAGTCACTTAGTAGCTGTCTGGGTTATCAGATCGACTATCGTGGTATTACAGTTCTTGTGTTCAAGTGACCCTTACTTTACTTAATAATGCCACATGCACATAACTTTTATTGTACTATATGGTTATAACTTTCATTTTATTATTAGTTATTGTTGCTAATCTCTTACTGCACCTAATTTGTAAATTAAACTTTATCATAAGTATGTATGTGTAGGAAAAAACATAGTTATAGAGTTTAGTACTATCCAAGGTTTCAGGTATTCACTGGGAGTCTTGAAACATATCCCCTGTGGATAATGGAGAACTACTGTACTTGATGTTAGTACCCATTCCATTTGCATATTGCACATTTTGCATGCTTGAAAATATTTTCAATATGAAGCCGCAAAATCAAATCTTGAATTTTATCTTTGCCCTTTTCTAAGTTAAATGCCATAAGTTTCTCTAAAATACAGGGAAAAGACAATTAACTTAAGAATCTTATTTATGCCAAGTCTTTTCTTGAAGATTTACAAATAATTCTGCAAGGATTTAAAGAATCTATGAAGCAGTTTTACTTGAAAAAAAAACTCTGAGTTGACTAAATACCCCTTGTTTTTTATTATTTTTGCTTCTGAATTTCGTTCCAAGAGAAGGGAAAGAACTGAGAGACTGACTGTATGATCTCCAAGGATCCTACTGGCTCTAAAATTCTGTTGTTCTATGAAAATAGGTTGATGAAGATAATACCCAAGAAAGATTTTATTGCAAAATCACTTTCATCTGACTCAGGTCTTAAAACTTAGGATTTGAACTAAGGATATTTTAAAGCCAAATAAGAACGTTTCTGCATTATTCATAAGCCGATTAACCAGATAAAGGAAGAAACGTTTCTCCTGAAAATTCAAAGATTCGTTTTCTTAAAATAGCTTTGTTTTTCTGTTTTCTTTTCTTTTCTTTTTCCTTTAATTCTTTCTTATAATTATATTCTCTGGGGTAGTTCAAATGTCTTCTTCCTGAAATATTAAAATTCTAGCTTTTTATCATTTCCTTGATGCTATTTTAACATGCTCTTAAATGGATTTCATAATTCATCTGCAATGAGCCATATTGTTTCATTTTGAACAATTAGACCTGATATCCATATTCAAGGAAAATGAATAGATATTTTACTTGGAATTACTTGATTCTTTTCTTTTTATTCTTGTTTCTCTAATCCAGATAAAACGTACATTTCTAAAAAAAAAAAAAAAAAGCTACCTGTCTACTCAGAATATTAACAAACTAGATCAGTCTTGGAAAAACAGGTAAGAAAATTTCCTCATGAACAAAATAAATGGTCCTAGAATAAGAAACATATCAGATCAAAATAAGTTTTTGCTATATCCCAGGTTTTAGTTCCCCTAAGGCAAAAATAGTGTAACAACTAAATATCCACATGCAAATTCATTGAGCAAGACAACAGTTATTCTTCCAGATTTATTGAGTCATACAATGTTCCTATACTATGTATGCCGGCTCCTGATGAAATAACTTCCAACACCCATACTAACAGCATTCAAAGAAGATCTAGTCTCTCTGACTCAGAAACACATACACTCTCCTTTGAACTCCACATTCACTGTTAGCTGCTGCCTATCTCCTCTTACATTCACAACCACATATAGGAAAAGCCATCAGGGCCATAGATGTCCCCACTTATCTCTTGCTTGTGTCCCAGCCCACTACAGTTTCACTTTTGAACCTGCTTCTCCCGTGAAAATGCACTTCCAAAGGACCACCATGTTGCCAAAAGATAATGGAAACTTTCACTCTCCTAATTGCCCACCCATTTCTCTGACTGCTCCTTTTCCACCTAACTTTAAATGAATGTTCCATCTCTTCAAAGACTAATGTTTCTCATTGTCCACTCTCTCTCTCTCTCTCTCTCTCTCTCTCTCTCAGTGGTCCCCTTTGTTTACATGGTTTCCTTATGCCAACTCCTAAATTTACATTTGGCTTCATATGTCATTTCTGAGCTCCACGTACAAATATTCATCTCCTTAATTAACATCTTAAGTTGAATGTTTTATAACAAATGATCAGCTAACTGGCCCCTGTGATTATCATCCCTCTTACTTGTTTTTTTCCATTGTTTCATATCTAGTTCCTAGAAAACACATGAGGTCATCCTTGATACCTAATTATCCCTTGCCGTCATAGCCATTTATTAAGTGCTGCTCATGATCCCTCCAAAAGTCTCACATGTTCAGTGTTTTCTGTATTTCTTGCCATCCACTTGCATGACCCACTATCATCTCTTTCCCAGATAATCAGTCCTTCTAAATTATCTCCTTATATTCGTTCTCCATACACTAGTAAAAATAATATTTCAAAAAATCCAAATTAGGTCATGCTACCAATTTAAAAGTGTTATATGTCTGCTTATTAGAATTATGAATAAGCTTACTAACCTGGACTACACAATCACCATAACTGGGACAAGATTTTCCTAGCCAGTCTAAACTTGTACCTTTCCTTCTCACTTCACACACTTTAAGCAAACTGTATTTCTTTCAGTTCTTCGATTGTGCCATACTCTCTGTCTATGCAGAGTGTTTGTTTTTGTTGTGCCTACCTTCTCCCTGGAGCTAGTGAATACTTTCTCATCCTTCAGATCACCACTTTTTTAAACACCACTTTTTCCATTTCTCTCAACTTCCCAGACCTGGTTATGGGTACTTTTTATTGGCTCCCACTATATTCCACATTTCTTTCAAAAAATACTCAGCATAACAATAGCTAAGTGATTATTTGCATAGTTTTTGTTGAATTCCTATGTGTGGCAGGACACTATTTGAAGATATTGATGCTTTCCCAAAAATTTTCCATTATGCTTTGTTCCTCCTACATCAGGCTAATAGACCATGAGATATCCGTTATATAAAGCGGGGGGGGGGGGGTTATTACAGTAGAAACTAAAGAAACAAGAGTCAAATTCTTGTCTTCAGAGTTTTAAAATCCCGAGCTTTTTGAAATGCAGTCACCAGTCTTCCAGTTCAGCCTATCCAACCTACTACTTTAAAACTAACAATTCTAAGGACAAGGGGAAATGGAGACAAACAGATGCCCTTGATGTAGGTAGGGCCCTATTCTGAGATATGAAGAGTGAGAATAGGAGGAATTCTAGATGGTTTGGGGAATCTGAGAGCAATATTCCCAGTAGAGCCTGGAAATGAGGAACACTTCAGAGTATTTCCTGATACATGGCAGGGTACAAGGGAGAGTGGCTCCTGGCTGAGGGAGCATCTAGGCAGAGGGATCAATGTTTCTTTTGGATCCAAAAAGAGTAGGGAAATAGATGAAAAAAGGCTGGGACCAAAAGTTCACTTCAGATGGAAGAGGAGATTTCTCAGTAGATGGCGATATTAACAGGTGATGACCCAAGAACAGCACCAGACAATTTCTCCTCCCCCAAAGCCTTAACATATCATAAGTACCCAGTACTTAGGAAGAAAGTACCAGAAATAACTAAGATTTCTTTTCCAATATCTGGTGGAATGGACATTTTAAATAGATAATATACTATTCAGAAATTGGGTGTTCCAATATCTAGAAATAAGAGATTGCAAATAACAGTTGCTTCAACAACATAATATGTCTTTCTCTCCCGCAGTGAAACTTCTGAGGTCAGCAGTCCAAGGCAGGCATGGCAGCTTCCTCTTATCAAGGTCCCAGGCCCTACTGGGAAATGACTTCCATCTATAAGGTTTCCTCATGAGCTAAGACGGCTACTGAGTTCCAGGCCTAAAACAAAACAGAAGAAAAGACAAGAAAGGGCCCATGCCAGTTCTCTGCTAACCTCTGATAGAATCTTCTTGGATTGTTCTGCCAAACAACTTTCTCTTACATCTTTTTGGTAACCCCTAGCTGCAAAAGAGGCTAAGAAATGTGGTGTTTTAGCTGAGCTCTAATAAAACAGGTTCTGCTTTTAAAGAGCAAGGAGAAAATGGATACCAGATAGCAGCTTGCAGACAATAAGTTGATTTTTAGGGAGAAAACAAGAAGGTAAAATTGTGCTCATAGGTTTATGAGCTGAGATTCACATACCTCAAACTCTCTGCCCTGATAGATTGTAAATTTAAGGAAAGCAGGATCTATTTCTTGTTTACAATTTTATCCAAGCATCTAGCCCAAAGTCTGCTACTCATAGGCAATCAAAATATATTTGCTGAATAAATACATAAAGGAAAAGGAATGAATAAATGAGTACACATGACCTTCCACCACTTAGCATCACTTAAAATTTACTTAACATTTTATGTAGTATGTAGTATGATAGTATTAATGCTGTTGACAGAGTGTTTCTGGGTACATGGTAGGATTGCACATCCAGCACTCCTTATATCTGGGTGAAGCCATGTGATTGTAGACAATGAGTTGTAAGTGGAAGTGACATGTGAATCTTCTGGGCCCAAGGATTTAGTTGCCATCATGTGCCCACCAGAGCTCTCATTCATACTATCAGAGCAATTTGGCTTGTAAAAGCTGGTGGTTTCCCCATCAGCATGGGTCTCTGAGAAAAGTGACATGAAGCAGTGGACCAGTAGTGAGTATATGGCATAGGAGAGATCATATTGCCTGGATTCACAGATTTACTTTCTCTAGTATACAACTATAAACTCTTTCAATATAGGAGACATTTTACTTGCTATGAAATACATTAAATTTAAGTCGTGAGTCCACAACCAACTTTACCTCTGAAACAGTGAAGTCAACTTTTAAAAGTCAAGTTAAAAAAAATCAGTTTGAAATAAGGAGCATAAAGAACAAATTCTATGTGTATAAAAATAGAATAGTTATGGCAAAATATATTTTCAAGAAAAGCCTTTGCTTTAGTATTTTTAAAAGCCCAGAAATAGAATTTTTTTTTAAAGCTAAATATTGCATTTGAATCAAGGTAAGTAATGGCATTATAACAAGTGGTACAATTAAAAGAGGTATTTTTTTATGCTTTTGTTACATATATAAACTGATCATGTATAATATATTCACATGTAATTGTACAATATATACACAAAATTATTAAAGGGCACAATATAGAAATACATGATTTTTAGAGACAAAAATCTCAAAATGGTACCTTTAAAGTATACTGATCTGGCTAACTAGCTTTGTTTCCCACTTTCCGGATTTATAATTAAATGTAGATTTTTTAAAAAATTATTAAAAGCTCTGAAATCTTTTACCCTGAAATTGTGTGGACCATAAAAATTAAACATAATTAAGTTAATAACAAGCAACTTTATCTTTCACAAATACTACAATCAAAGCCTCTATTCTAAAATTTCAGATAATTACTACTAGACTATGTTTAGCTTCTTCCAAACTAAGCAATTTTAGCTGTATTTAACCATTTTCCCCTAACATATGATGTCATGGTTATTATGTTATATGACTTGAGTCCCCTGCACAATACACATAACTAGATACATAAGGCAGGTTTAAGGTTTGCTACCCTTTTCTGGATGAGTAGATTATTTTCCATGAGGATAAAAAAGATGTTACATATAAGTCTGTTGTTTTAGATGACCAATGGATAAATCCAGGCAAAAAGAGTAACTGGAAATAACTGAGTGTCTCTTTCCTTATAATCTAATCTTACAGCTCCTACATAGATAATGCCATCCTAGGGCAGATCAAAGCTAAACTTGTTAAAGGTTCTGAAATTCAGGGTTTGAGTACTACATTTATTCTCCAGTTTATTTCTAAATGTAATAAATAATTTAAGAGATTTACTATCACTTCCTTACTATAAAAACAAAAGGACTTTAATGCAGCAACATAGGCAGTGAAAGGATGACACTGCGAAAATTAAAATATTGTTGGGGTCGTGGATTTAAAAGATTTGTAAGTATTCTCCACCAAACTTCACTCCATTTTTTTTAAAGCTACAACACTGAATTTTTGGACCATGTTGAAGATTATAGACCAAAGCTTCTCTGTAATTATGCAAGTAAATACAAAAACCAAACCTATCCAGATGAGTGCACAGGCAATTCCAATATCATGTGTATGAACCCCATCTACGTTTTTGTTTTGTTTTGTTTTTTGAGTAGCTTTTCTCTATGGAAAAACATAATAACACAATTTTTTAAAAGCACTCAAATTACCACCATTCTAGTTCACATCATGTATCCATATGCAAAGAGTCCTGAAAAGGCACCATGGACATATTTTTCCAACAAGCTGTTTGGTGCAGAAACCATATGCTTAATTAGACCATGAAAAGCATTATTGCATGTAGGGCATATGCTTGGCAAAGTTATGGATCACCATCTGGGCCCTGTTTTCTCCAGGAAGCTCCAGCTGGGTGACAGTACCGCATCCTTCCAAGGGTAATGGCTCCCTTGGGCCATCAGAGAATCAAGAGTTCGGGCCCCTCATGCATCAGTCAATCCATGAAGTCAGCATGCAGAACATGTTGTAAGTAGATGTTATGAATGGGCCAGCCTGATATTTCCCCACGGTGTGTTTTTTGATGTCCTTTAAGAGTCCCCATGTCTACAGCACAGTTTGTAGATTTCTGGTCACTTTGACTTTACCTTTGTTTTGTTGTTGTTGTTGTTGTTGCTGCTGCTGCTGCTGCTGTTGTTGACTTTACCTTTGTTTTTGATGACACAATATTCAGGTTCCACAACTATTAGGAGTCTACTCTGTGCCTCTTTGGACCTCAGGTAATGTAAACCTATTTCCTTCCTAACATTCTAAAAAGAGGCTTAATGGAATTTTGAATTTTTCCTATTACAAAAATTCTTAGGTTTTTGTCAAAAGAGACTTGAAATACCACATGAAATCATGTACTCACAAGACTTACCACTACCTCCAAATAACTGAATTACATAAATAAAACATTACATAGAAAGTGCTTTGCTACAATTTATGGGTGGTAAATTTAATAAGAACTGGCTCATTGTAGTAAAATTCGACTTATTTTTTTCCTGATCCTTTTATTCTATACAGGGAAAGAAATTTATGTCAGTTTAAAAAAAACTATTACTGCTTCTCATAACTGAATCCATTATTTTTCTCCATGATCCATCAGGTAAAAAACAAGAATAATAGATTGCTTTGACAGAACCTTGAACATAAACATCTCCAAGAATCAAATGCAGAAAGTAAAACAAGTTTCAGGTGGTATTAAAACAAAAAAGGATCATCTTTATACATTTCAAAAGTCAGATCTTACTAAAAAATATTATTATTAGCTGCTACAAAAAAATAATGTACATAGTAGTTGAATTTTCACAATTAGACTCAATGACTTTAAATAATTGAATTTGTCCTATATAGTCAACTGATTAAAAAGATTGGTATTTACCTTATCTTACAAATATTTTCTGCTCATGAAGGAATCAAGGGGCTCAATAATCGTTAGCTCCCTGTGACCCATTTTAGTTTCAGTAAAGTTTGAGTGAATGTGCACACGTCTACTTACTATACATATAGTACAGCTACCTCATCTCAAAGGATTTTCTTCTTAGTCGACACCTATCCAGCATCTAATCTCCCATTTTATTTAGATAATCCAACCTCCCAACCTGTCTCCTGAAAAGATGACATTTTCAGCTTCAGTGGCAGAATTTATTCTAAGCCAATGAGCACATAACATTCACATTAAGTCTATTATTGGTAGAGGGCTGGGCATATGACCACAATTTATCTGAACTGAAAAAGAATTTTTATGCAAGACGAAAATGCAAAGAGAGTGATTTCCTAATTTCTCTTACCAGATGAAGAAAAGAGAACAGGAAGTCCCAGTTGCTGCTGGCTCTGTGACCATGAGAATAAGGACAATGCTGGTGGCAGAGAGAAGTCAGAAAGGACTAGGGTCTTAGTTGAAATCATTGAACTACTGATGACACTTTCTCTTGTCTTCCGGTTAGAGAATTTACAAATTTATTTAGTGTTTAATCCACTTTGAATTGGGGTTTTGGAAATTGTTTAGATATGTTCTTCTCTCTCTTAAAAAGAGATGACAGAATATACTCAAAATATTATGTTTTCCCGGGGCTTGTTCCATTCATGTTGCTTTACATCAGAAAATCTTTGAATATGTATTTGATTCTGAAACTACCTTTGAGAACTCTCCCTAATCATCTAATGAGGCACAAAATTTGATACATGCATTGCTTAAGAAGACAGTAGTATTCTTAAAAAAGTAAATGCAAATTTAAGATGAATAAAAACTCTCTTGTACTACCAGACAAAAAATACAGTTTCATAACCAAGGTCAGACATTATTTCTAGCCTCAAGATCTGAAACAGAGCTTGATCTGTCTTGTAGTCAATTTTAAACTCTGGCCTATATGCCAAAGGTATGTTTATTTTTAATTATTCAGAAATCGTGGACCATAGTAATACTTCTGCTCTCTTCTTATTTTCCCAAAACTATTTTGATACTTCCCAGATCCTGCAGGCTATTAGATGTTTCTTGCAAATTTCCATAGATAATAACTCATCAGCTTTGCAATTTGATTCTTAACATTAAGAGATTAAAACTAATGTAGATGATTCTCAGATGACACATACTGAGGTATAGAAAAATTCCATCATTTCCTTCCACAAAATGAGAGAAATTTTAATTCTTTTTCTCAACAGCTGCTTCATTTTTTTATGCATAGGAAAAAACTATGTGCAATTACTCCAAGTACAATCAAGTCATTTAACATGGCTTTGCCATCATTGTAGTTGCAGGATATTTTAAAAGAGAAAAAAAATCTCAAAGCACAGGTCCTGCTGTGCAGCAAAGCAATCAAATTCCTTCATAATAACAGCCTGATGGGATTCAGCAATCCGAGGAATAATGAATAACCACTTTAATCAGTAAACAGGAAAATGCTACAACATTTACTGAGTAAAAATTGACTATCATTTGTTGATCCTCTTGATCGGCATTTCAAACAATAAATAGAAATGTAAGTATCTTTTAAAAAGCAAAATAACTTTGTTTAGTGGATTTGATTTTGCCAGGCAGTGAGAAAATAATAGACCATCTCAAATTGTCCTGCAGTGTTACTCAGTGAGTAAAATGTACATATTATTTTTTTAAATGCATGGCCAAATTGACCCTATTGCTTGAATATGTCAAGATAAACTCATTTTGCAGTTGGTTGATAAGATTGTATTTCTGGACTGATCACTGAATTTCATTTCTACTTCATTATTTGATGCTCTTTTTCACTGTTCATCTTACGAAGTTATTTGAATCTGAATACGAAGGATCTGTTTCAAAGTAGTCCTCAAGTTTCCAGTGCAGTGTCTCAAATGTTGGCCTTTCCTTAGGTTCTGCATTCCAGCACTCCAGCATGATGTTGTAGAATTGCAGTGGACAATTAGATGGTTGAGGGAGTCTATAGTTTTGACCCAACATCTGGATTACCTGAGCACCTGTCATACCTAAAAATATAGAATGAAATCAACAACAACAACAACAACAAAGTTAAAGAACAGAGTGTTAAATTCATAGACACTTATACGCTAGATTACAGGCAAATTGATTTCCTTGGTGAAGTTATGAGGTCTTCCATCCCCTTCCCAGACTTCAGAGATTAAACTAAATCCTGAAGCAACTAATGTCTATAAGACTGCAATTCAAGAGCAAAGGAGGAGGCAATAAACCACCTCATTAATGCAAATCATCGTCATCAAATTTTATTTCTTACACTCCCAAAGGCACATAGTATGGTCAGCTTCATAACTCTGCCCTCTAAGTCTGGGCAAAGCAGTTAAAATCACATCTAAATAGGTGACCTGTGGAATAAAGGCCCATTTCAGAATTAATTACTCACCACTATAAGGCATTTTGCCGTAAGTAATGATTTCATAAAGAAGGATTCCAAATGACCACACATCGGACTTAATGCTAAATTTATTAGCACGAATAGCCTCAGGCGCAGTCCACTTCACTGGCAGCTTTATTTCATGTTTAGATTCATAGATGTCTTCATTATCTACCTGTTAATGCATTAAGATATCAAGCCAAGTTAAAGTGATATATGTGTGTATGTGTGTGTGTGTGTGTGTGTGTGTGTGTGTGTGTGTGCCCATTTCAGTTAATTACTCACCACTATAAGGCATTTTGCCGTAAGTAATGATTTCATAAAGAAGGATTCCAAATGACCACACATCGGACTTAATGCTAAATTTATTAGCACGAATAGCCTCAGGCGCAGTCCACTTCACTGGCAGCTTTATTTCATGTTTAGATTCATAGATGTCTTCATTATCTACCTGTTAATGCATTAAAATATCAAGCCAAGTTAAAGTGATATATGTGTGTGTGTGTGTGTGTGTGTGTGTGTGTGTGTGTGTGTGTGTGTTTGCCACCCTCATTCATCTGTAATCTGCTTTACGTTAAAATTCAAAGGGAAAGGTTTCAAGATGAGCTTAGTTCCATTGTTAATTAGAGGAGCAAATTCCAAATCTGGTATACAAGACTGAAACACCCGTGAGAACGCATTCATAAAATATTATTTGAAAGCCTACTATGTGCTAAAAATAGCGCTGGAAAGTACATTCTACTACACATGGGGGTATTCATGTGTGATGATACTGGCTTTAAACCTGATCATTAGTAAATAAAATTCAATTAAAAAATGAAAGCGACAAGTCTGTTTTCTGATTTACTGCTGGTATTAAGGAGCCATGGACTTTGATAATTACCATGTGACCACTTTAAAATACTGAAAAGTAGGATTCAAATGATCTAAAGTAATATATAAGTCACTGGAGTTCTAATTAATTTACAAAAAGAAAAGTTGATGAATTCATGAAGTTCAAAAGAGAACCATTTATTTGTTGTGTTTCACACTCCACACCCATAATTTTAGGGTACGATGTAAAAATTAAAAATTAAAGTTAGGGAAAAACAACTAATATTTTATCTCTTATATCAGTGTCTTTTGACATGATGTCATGAAGTGGGAGGTGGATAGGGAGGGGCAGGAATTACAAAGTCCATGGTTGCTGAAGAATTCTGGCAGCATGCATATTAGTCTGGCATAAGTGAGCAAAGGTGGGTAGGATCACTCTGTACAAAGAGTGCTGCTTTTTGTAAGGGAAATGCAGACAAACAGAGGCTACTGATACAGAAATATAGATTGTTAATTCAACCACAAACTTAATTTTATACTCTCCCATCTGGTTGGTCATCATTTTCTCTGTTTCTCCTTGATAAAGAAATAGAAATGAGAAATAGTTTGTCTACAAGGCTTTGGGCCACGGAAGTGTTCTATGGACCATAGAAACATTGTTATGAAGAATAACAGTAAATCTATAAGTCTACTGGTCTGTTAGGCTTTTAACCCATTATAAAAACTAATTAGAACAAAAGCATATCCACCTTAAAAACTCTTGCAAGTCCAAAATCTGCCACTTTGTAGATACTATGTTCACCAACAAGGACATTTCTGGCAGCCAGATCTCTATGTATATAGTTCTGGGACTCCAGATAGGCCATTCCAGAGGCAACCTGTGCCGCCATGTCTACCTGCTGAGTCAGATGAATTTTTGATCCAGCATCATCTAGGCAATAAGAGAAAATAAAATATTTACTTTGGGAAACATTTAAACTACTGAAGTGAATTCTGAGAATCTTGATGAATAAGCTATCAGTGGGATCAAGTGCCATAGCACTTATTTATTGAGCAAAAATATATAACCATACTAACAATTTTATTTCCTGTGAAGAGTTAATGAGGCAACAATTCTGAGAGTCCAAACACATTCTAAGTCTGTGAGCTGCCCTTCCCTGAAAGCATTACACAGAGAAAGAAGGAACAGTATCACATGATCCAAACACAACTATAAACATCTGAGTCTGGCATTGCCATTTTCCATACCACACATCACCAGTCTCATCTCTTCATAATTTCTCCTAGTCCTCATCCTGTATTATTAACTTTAGGAAATTCATGTAGTAGGGTCAGTTTGACCATTAGTAGAGAGGTTAGTTATTTTGTGAAATGTGGTCAGCCATTCTTGGATAGTGTTTAGCCACACTCTTAGTAGATGTCTTCCGATTTCTGAAGAAATTTGGAGAACTTTTAAGATCTCATGTAAATGCAAATTATGATTATCCCTGTCTGACTAAGCCAAATATTAAGAAAAGTGTGTTGGACTCACTGTTAAGAGTCTTAGGCTCCTGACTTGAGAGGCAACTACATAGTACAGGGGTAAGGAAGACTGGTTTGACACTTGAGTGCCAGAATTCGAATCAGGGTTCTCCCTGCCTCCAATTTCTTTCCTGACTTTGAGCAAACTGCTTAACACTCCTGTGCCACTGTTTCCTCATTTATATAGTGATAATTGTAATTACTTTATGGTATTAGTTGTTAAAATGAGAATTAAAATGAGTTAATACACATAAAGCACTTAGGATACTGCCTGGCACCTAGAAAGAACTCAGTAAACCCTACCTGTTATTGTTATCATTGCTGCTGTCTAATCAGAATTAAACAGTTTAGGATCTGTAAAGCCGGAGATGCATATAGATTACCCAAATGGAAATGCCTAACAGAAAACAAGCATATGGGTCGCAGCTCAGGAGAGAGCACACAGCTAGAGGCATTGATTTAACAGTCACAGGTCATGAGTGGGAGTTAAACATTAAAAGTGGGTGAGATTGCTAGAAAGTGACAAAACCATGAGAAACACCACCATTTAGGGTGGGCAGAGGAAGATAAACCTGCAAGAAAACTGAGAAGAATCAGCCAGAAGAATGAGAGGAGAACCAGAAAAGAACATTATAATAGTTAAAGGTTTTGAGAAAGAAGAAGTCAACACCATTGTCAAATGCCACAAAAAATATCCATCAAGATAAGGAATGAAAGGCATTTCTTAAATATAATAACTAGGCAGTCACTGGTGACTTTGGTGGCAGGAAGAGCAGTTTCGCTGGAGATGGAGTATAAGGGATTGAAGGCTGGTCGGAAGCTGAGGACATGGAGACGGCAAGAAGAGATGTCGATTTCCAAACCCCTAGTGAAGAAAGTAAGACAAAAAGAGGCCACTAGAGGAAAAGTAAGTCTTGGAAAGCCATTGTGAAATTCACTATAGTGAGAGGTCATCATTGACAGCGTACTCAAGGGGATTTTGGAGTGCTGGTCATGTTCTCGTTCTTGATTGTACAGTGCACAGTTGTTTAATTGCCCACTTTATAATTAATGATAAGTTACGCTATGTGATATATGCACTTTTTATACATATGCTATCTTTTTCAATAAAAAATGAATCAAGAACTTTTTTTAATGCTAAAGATCTAAGCACAGTGTATGTATATGTACATATATATATATATATGTCTATTTTTTAGTGTAACCAGCATATTTAAATACAATGTGAGGTGATACTAACTAACTGCTCACTGATTCATTTGTCCTTTTCTTTCTGGCACACTCAGAAGATCATATTCCCCATCTTCCCCTGAAGTTAAATTGGGCCATGTCACTAGTTCTTGGCACAGCAATGTGTGCAGAGATGTTCATCACTTACAGGCCTGATACTTAAAATTTCCCACATCTTTGTACCTGAGAGAGATAAATTTAAAAATGACAGAGACACATGATGGAAGGAGTCTAAATCCCTGTGTCATCATTTAAAGAAAGCCACCTGGAAGAAGTGGCTGATACATATCAAAAATGCATAATTTTTGTAATGTCACTGAGATTTTTGAATTGTATATTACAGCAACTAACATTAACTATTCGGTCTAAAATGAGATGTAAGCAAAAAGATAAAATATAACTGAGTGTGCAGCATAATGGCAAAACAGTGCTACTCTGATGTCCATAATAGCTATGCTTTTTCATATCAAATTCACTCAATGAGAAAAACACTAAAAGATTTCAAATAAACAGGTGACTAGTCCTAGGGTATGTAGCAGACAGCCTCAAAAGTGGCTCCCAACATTCTCCGCCTCCTGGTTTTCATGCTGTAGTGAAGTTCCCTTCCATTAAGTATGGTCTGAACCTAGTAACTCACTTTTGACAAATAGAATATGGAAAAAGTGATGGGTATCACTTCCAAGATAAGTTATAAAAGACTGTGACTTCATCTTGCTGGAACTTTTCTCTCCCTGATCTCTTGCTTGCTCACTCAGATGAAGCCAACAGCCATGTGATAAGTTGCCCTATGGAGAGGTCCATGTAACATGGAATGGAACTTAAGGCAGCTTCCAGCTGCAACCAGCCAGGAACTGACTTCTTCAGTCCAACAGCCCCGGAGGAAACAACTCCAGCCAACAATCACCTAGGTAAGCTTGGAAGTAAATCAACCTCCCCTAGAGCCTTCAGGTTACTAGAGCACCTGCCAACACCTTCATTGCAGCCTTGTGAAAAACCCTGAGCTGGAAGGCCTAGCTCAGCTGCACCTGGAGTCCTGACCACAGAAACTGTGAAAAAATAAATGTTGGCTGCTTTAAGCCACTAGGTTTTGGGGTAATTTTTTGTGCTGCAATAAATACTGAATACAGCTTAGTGTTAGGAAAATAATATCAGTGCTGTGCATTTTGTTAAAATCTCAAACTATAGAGCCAGATTTCCCGAGTTTGAATTCTAGCTCAACCACCTTGGATAAGTTACTTAGTCTCTCCATCTCTCAGTTTCTTTAACTGTAAAATAAAGGTGATATAATAATAATTCATGAGGCTGTTAGAATAATGAACTAAATAGTATCTGTACAGGATTTTAAAAAAAAATCCTGGCACATAGTAAGAGCTACATAGTATTTTTTAATAAAAATAAATAAATAAATTTTTATGCTCCACTCCCTCCACTATCCTGTGTGGTTTATTTCTAGTAAATCACCTCATTTAATACTCATGACTACATGAAGTAACTATGCTATTATTTGCCCCATTTCATAGAGGTTCCTGCTACTCAGAGGAACAAGTAATATACTGTTAGAGTAGAGATTCAAATCCAGGTATGTTTGAGGCCAAAGTCATATCTTCCTTTCTAAAACTTACCTTACACATCACTCTGGAGCACCCTGAAGTCAGGGGCTATGGTGAGACTTCCATTCACACAAACAGCAACAATTTATGGCAGTAGTATTCAGTTAGAGGGTATCTCAATGAAAACATTCTTGTCTACTTCAGCCCACTTAAGTGAACTGTCAATAGGAATAATGAACAACATGCTTGATTTATATTTTTTTAAAAAAGGATATTTCCTGACATGTGTCAGATGTTCTATAAGTATTTATTGGAAATAAAACAATTCCAACAAAACTAAAAAAAAAAAAATGCAGATATTTATCCTCTTTAAATTTCAGTAAGAACTACCTACATCCTCAATGCTAAAGTTTTTTGACAAGCCTCTTCTGTTTTGGAGAAATTTATTCCAAAAAATATTCCAGCAAGCTTAGGGATTATAAGGTGATTCTAGAGAAAAATATGTGTGTTATTTCAGATATCAAATACAGCATCTAATTCTATTTCAGTGGATATAAAAAGGTTTTCACTGACAGGCACAATAGAGAAGGAAATTGAATAATAACACATTTCCTACTCTGAAAGAGTACAGTGGCCTAGGAACCACCTAAGTAAACTTCAGAGCACACTTCTAATAAAATGGCCAGATGTCAAAACAGATAAAAAGGTTCACAGACCTATGACAATTTGCATCTGAGGCAAGAAAATATTTTCAATTATGTTCCATTATTCAAGACTCTTTCAGCTTAATATTTATCATGATAGGCCGTTTAAGAGTGGCAGACTCATTATAAGATCATTTTGTTGAATTTAAACCTTCTTAATTGGGAAAGGATTATCTATAATGAACATATTTTCATTACTCCTCCTTGCTGCTAAGTATCCTGGCAAATGGCAGCCCCGGTAAATTGACCCTCATGTCCCAATCCAGAAGATGACAGGGTTCGAGCTTGGCCCTGAGTAAAACACATCAACAAGCCACAGAAATCCTCAATGCCAAAGGAGTTTGCAGTGTAATAAGGAGATCTTTTCAAGCTAATACCAAGAGCCTCAGAACAAGCTTGACCCTGAGTCCCCATCTTAACAGTTTCAGGATAGCTCCAACTTAATCTATTCATTAATGTATTCATTCAATCAGTCAACACACAATTAGTGCATACCTTCTATGTGCCAGACACTGTTCTAGCAGTAAAACAAAGAAAAATCTCTACCCTTGAGGAGTTGTACTTTAGAAATACTGAAAGTGAGCTACATAAATGTCATGCAATATCAGATGATTAACAGCTAAAAGAGAAAACAAAAAGCAGAAAAGAGGAATATGAAGAGTCAGTAGAGGGAGATTATATTTTAGAATTTAGAGGGCATTCAGTGAAGGACTCACCATGATGGAGATGCTTACGGATATTTCAGGAAGACTTTCAGTAAATGAGGAAGTGCACTATGGGGGTAAGTAATGGAAAACAATTCAGATCTGAAAAACAGCAAGTGTGAAGCACCTGAAGCAAAGCACATCTGAGAGATATGAAGAGCAGCAAAGAAAGACAGTGTAGATGACACACAGTGAACAAGGGGAAAGCTGGGAGAGATGTGGTCAGAGAGGTCATGGAAGCCCGGCCATGAAGGACTTCATGGGTTATACAGAGAGAAGAGCCAAGGGGAATCACTGAAGGGTTTACAAGTCACCCCGAAATAAGAGCTAAAAAGAGACACAATCTGATTTACATTTTAACAGAATCTCTCCAGCTACTGTGTTGGGACGAGACTGAAAAGGACAAGAACCAAAAGAGGGAGACCAATTAGGAAGCTACTGCAGAATCCGGGAGGGAGCTGATTGACAGCTTGGACCGGAGTGGGAGTGTTAAAAGTGGTAAAATCCTGTATATACTTGGAATTCAAGATAATGGGATTTGCTGGTTGGTTAGATATAGAATGTGAGAAGAAATAAAAATGACTCCAAGATATTAGGCCTGATTGTTGACATTGTCAAAGAAAGAAAGACCACAAGAGTAGCAAATTACTGGGAATAATATAAGAAAATCAGTTTGGATCACGTTTTTTTTTTTTTAATTTCTAATAGAAATATGTAGTAGAAATTAGGACTGTTCACAAACATTTATTTTTGTCTCCTTTTAAGCACTTTAGAGAATCATATTCCCCTATTCCCTTTGACTTGATTAGGCCAAATGAAAAGGGCACAAAAGTCACCTCTGTCACTCACGGTCAGGAGTTTTAAGAGCCAGAATAAGATTAGTCACATCCCCTTCCCCTGCCAAGGGGATCAAAAGACCTGAGCCACCAGTCAATCTGTTTTGCACATGTAGCATGAGCAAAATAAACATTTGTGTTAAGTCTCTGGGATATGAAGGCTGTTCCCCATTGCGTCAAAGTTACATTATCCAGACTAACATAACATTTAAGTAGAAAAGTTAAGAAGGCAATTGGATATATGGTTCTGAAGTAATAGAGGGATATAAATTGGGGAACTGTTAAAACATAAATGTTACTAATATTGTAACTGGTTGTGATTAGCAAGGGAATTAGTGATGTTGCAAAAGTCCTGGAAAATTCCAAGATATTGAGAGGTCTGGAAAATGAAGGAAATCATATACATTGAGAAGAACCAGCAAGAAATGTAGGAAAAGCCATTGAGTAAAGTGTCCTGAAAGCCAAATGAAGAAAAAGTGTTTCCAGGAAACAGTGACCATCGAATAAAATATTGTTGATAGATCTAAGGATTAAAAATTGACTATTAGATTTAACACTGTAAATGTTACAAGTGACATTGACAAATCATTTTTGTTAGAGATGACGCAAGATAGCTCCTGTACTTTTGTCCCTGGGATTAAGGACAAAGAGGTCAATGATCGAGGTTAGTCTTTCTATGGTAGGTAACTTCTGATGCTATTATTAGATTTTATGTCTTTATCCGAGTGAGATAGACATACTTTTGTTTTTAACAGCATTTAACAGGCCTTATGTTCTTGGTTCTTCTAATCTAGTTTTGTAAGTTAATATCACCAGCTTCACAAGTGACCCTGAAATAAGAGAATATTCTTACTTTTCTGATATCTTTGTTACATTATTGTAACAAAGGGAGGTAAAGGGAGGTCCCTTTACCTCTACACTTCTATCAATCCCACTCTGACATTTTAAGAAAGTATAGAAAAATCTCTTTTTTAAGTATGAATTACAGTTTACCCTTGAATGACATGGATTTGAACTACACAGGTCACTTATATGCAGATTTTTTTCAATAAATACCCGTACTGTTTTTGTCCACAGTTGGGAGTATGCAAATCAGAGGGCTGATTAGATGCATTGATCTATGCCATTGTATATAAGGGACTTGAACATCCTCGACTTTTGATATCTGCAGGGGGTCCTGGAAACAACTCCCCAAGGATATCGAGGGACAACTGTAGTAGTTAAGTTTTGGGGGAATCAAAATTTATAGGCAGATTTTCAACTGTGTAGGGAGGTCAGCACCCCTAACCCTGCATTGTTCAAGGGTCAGCAATTGTATTCTCTCAGTACTTGATCTCAACTACTTTTAACATCTCATTTTAATGCTCATTATATTGTTGCTTATGAAATTATTCATTAATAAACATCAAAATTTTACAATGCCCTTAAGTCTTCTCTGACTACAAGAAGTAAATTGGAAATAAAACCATAGTACATTTCTGATTTTTAGTCTGAATATTCTAATGTTGCCTAACGGTAGAAGTATTTTAAACACCAACAAGTACAATGTAGTTAAACACTGGCAAAGAAAAAAAAGGACAGTACCTCTCTCTCTCTATTCTCAAAAATATTTTATGTCCTTTAATTCTGGTCCATATAAAATATAGGTCCATGACCGATAACGTTCAATTAGTTATTGTAGGAAACAAAGAATCATGCAAAACATCTATTCTTCAACTTTCCACATTACATTTAAATACTCCGATATGTCTATTGTGAACAATTTGTTCTTCTAGAACATAAATATTTTCCTCTCTTCGAGTACACAGTATATATCCTATTAAAGAGCAGTTGAGCAATTCAATGTTAAGACATTCATTCTCACAGATGTACACATAGTAAATATCCTTTGGGTTATAGAAAGCTTGCTAAATTGACATTTATAGGACTTGCTAAACTAAATTACTCTTTTTTTTTTCTTTTTATTAAGTCTTTAGCTTACTTTGGAGATATTCTTGAAGACTTCCATGTCTCATCAACTCTGTAATAATATAAATTGGATCTTCTAAAGTGCAAACAGCATAAAGCTGGATGAGTTTCGGATGTCTTAGGTTCTTCATTATCTGTGCCTCCCTCAGGAAGTCATTTGGATCCATTGAACCTGAAACAAGAAGAGGGGAAAATCACTTTCTGTTATTGAGGCATTCCTATCCTCACAGCAGCCTGGTGGGAATCACCAAGATTGCTTCCTGCCTCTCAGTAAAGTAAGAGCAAAGGTGTCACAAATCTTCAGATTTATCAAAGAAGAGAATTACTTCAGCCAGGGCAACTTAGTAACTGATGTGTTGGTGCATCAGGGTATGCAGTTTTTGTGTTATGACCTGTAGGTGAAGAAAGGTTGATTCAGATCCATGTGAAAAATGGAGAAAAAAGGAGAGACTGGCAGTGTAATTGATAAAGCAAGGCAGGCATCTTAAGAACACAAAGAGAAGACATTCTATTAACACGAATGCTGGAAGACACTGAAAGTTTAATTACTGCAGCCAGAGCTTTTTGGTCCAGGATCCAAGGAAAACTGATAGCTGCCCTGTCCTTGGTACCCACTGTGGGAAGAGCTGGATAACAATCCTAGAGCAATGACATTTTGCCATATTTATGTTCTTAATTCTGTAGGAACATATGATATAGACTAAGTAGAAAATATTCAAAAGCCACCCCCAAAACTTAGTGTTTTTCCCACCAGTCTTTTGTGTCTGACTTAAAACTGACATTCAACATTTAATTCTGTATTAATACTTCTACAGTCAGAGTTTTAATAGCTTGACCAAATAATAAGGGAGACAGTAAAGACTCATCTATAATTAAATTGTATTTAAACAGCTCAACTCTGACTCACCATGCAAAGTGCCAAGTAGTTAACATCAAATAAAATCTAAGGAGGAAGTATACCTGGAGTTTACATTTTATCAGTAATTTTTAAATCTTTCATTTCCTTTAAGAAATGATGTTTCAGAAGTATTACTGTAATTGAAGAAATATTATCATTTCACATCTCAATTTTCACTATGGATAGTACAAATATTTCCACTGATGCTCAAAGAGTCTGTTCCATTCATCATTCTCTCAGGTTGAAGACTTCACAACTGATGTGTGATCTCAGGCATACATAAGCTTTGATATTCTAAAGTAACACTCTCACCTGTTTACTAATGTGAAGTTAGAAAGAGTTACATATGGCCTGCAGATCATTTCGCATAAAGCATTTAGGCAGTCTGTGCTTTGGTATTTCCTTTAGAGCCTAGAAGTTCAGAACCCAAGTTTAATCAAACTCCAGATTCTGAACAAATCCTGGTTCGCTGTGTGGCTAATAATCTTACTGACATCATAAAATCATTATCAGGATAATAACAATTCCTGGCACATATGCATTCAATGACTATTAACCATTATTATTAATATGCATATTCTAGGGTAAACCAAACAGATCAACTGTACATATTTTTTTCACAGGTTGAGGAGAAGGGGCAAGGACTTAAAGAGGGAAGATAAGAGGAATTTGCCTTTCCTCTTTTTCATCATATTTTGCTGAGCTCCCTCAATTTTATCTCTACCATTGGCTTGCTACACATAATCAAATAGGAATAAAATCTTGGATCATAGTGGCAAAATGGAGCTGAATATAAAAGAGGCACCCAAATTATAACAAAGGACTTTGTTCTTGGTTGTTACAACAAGTTTGGCCTATGGTCAAATATGGCTATAGTGGGATCCTCCCTGCCCTCCCCCACAAAAAATAGTCTGATTCATGAAGCTTCCAGTAATGGCAAAAATTATGATCACCAATTAGACAACTTATATATACAATATGTCTCTATGTTGATGCTTTGGGTGGGCATCAGATTCATAAAATGCAGGACACTCAAATTATTGCCAAATCAGACTATCCACAATAGACAAACCAATTGAGCCTCTGCAGGTGAAGTCTGGATTGCTGGTTACAGCTGACCAGCTGCACAGCAAAGAAGACCCAATCTCAACTCAGTTTGTAATGCAACATTAAATATTAATTTTTGCCTGTCAAAGCTACTGTGGGAGTTGATTTCAGGCTCGTCTTTATTGCACAATAGTCTGCTAAGCAATAAATAGCTGCTAAGATTGATTAATGGCCCCAGTGAAGTGAAGACGTTTAACCAATCACCAAAGCTGTTTGCTGCTATTACACCGTAAATCAATAATAATTATTCCTGTTGGAGAGAAAACTATCATGGTCCTTTTTTTTAATATAAGAAATCTAATTTTTTGTTCTCTTTTGACCTCCAGAATGGCTTCCTTAGAGAGCAATGTTAGGATGGATAGCTAGTTGCTTCTTTATGGAAGAGAATAATTAGTTGGACAATACGGTTTAATTTCAATTGTCAAGATTAGGATTCAAAACTATATACATGCAGTGACTGTGAAAATCTCAAGTGCTGGAATAGATTGTCCTCACATGGAGTACTCACATGGCATCTGGCCACTTAAAAGTGTTTCTCCATTGTTCCATGTGGTAGGTGTAAACGCCAAGATTGGACTTTTGCACTAGCGAATTTGCACATCAGTGGACATCTGTCAGCAACCCGTTGAAAGCTAACATTTATTAAGAACTCACTGTGTATGTTTTATGTACATTGAATCCTCATAAAACCCTATGAAGTAGGAGCTATTATAATTCCCACTTCCAGATGAGGAGATTCAAAAGGTTAATAAATTGTCCGAAGTCACAGAGAGCAGAACAAAGTTTGGACTCAGATTTCTCTTACACCAAACTCTGTGCTCTTCACTATTATATCAGAGGGTCCCAAACTTTCTCAGTTCATGGCACATTCATTGCCTCAGTAACTTTTTTCATGATGCCCCTAAGCCAAAAATTAATACCTAACAGTTTTTATTGATTATTTGGTTAAATCCAAAAAACTTGAGCAGTATTTTTGTCCTAATGACTTAATATCCATTTTTAAAAAGTAATAGATATAAAGTGTAAGAAAATAATAATTATATCATTCTTAACCACCATTACTTACCAAAGAGATATATGCATATACTGGACACTGCATAATTTTTCATCTCGGAAGCATTGCTACCCACATTTCCTATTCCACACTGATTTTTATGTGGATCTCGCATTTGATCACAGCAACCATAAAAAAATCCAGCTTCATAAAGCTATGTCAGCAAAAGGAATGTAACACGATCTAATGCTGAAACTATGAATTACCTTAGTGTGTAGCAGTTTGTGAAGTATTTGAGATGTTTATCTTAAAACTTTTAAATACCCTGTGACACCCCATGAATTCACTACGGTGTCCCAGTGCGCCTTGACACACAGTTTGGATACCATGGTTTTACACTAGACTGATAGCCAGCAGTACTCAGGTGCTCAAGTGCTGCCACCAAGTGGCTTTCTAAATCTCTAAGAATTCTGGACAAGGTAAATAATAGAATACCCCCACTTTGAGAACTATATTCTAGCCTCTGGTTATTATTTTTACCTATGTTTTTAGAAGTAGATATGAGGCTACTACAGTGGCATTGCCCTTTCGCAGAGTGTCACTTCCTGGGAGTGTGATGCTATAATAGTAGATGGGAGTTCAAATTCTAGCTCTGCCTTTTACTGATTTTGTAATAATAATAATGATGATGATTATAATAATAGTATTTATTGGTTACATAGTATGAACTGGACATTAGATAAAGCGTTTCCACTAATAACCTAATTTAATCTTCATAATAACACTGCTAGGTGGACCTTATTAACTCTATTTTGCAAATTATAAAACTGATGCATAGAGTAGTTTAAAATTTTACTCAAGATCATATGACTAGTAAGTCTTATGAAAATTACTTAATCTCTCTAAATTCTCCCATTCCACCTTTAAAATGGAAGAAATAATGTCTGGCTGAATAAATATTGATTTTAATATACTTTTAATTTGCACCACAGAAAAAAGAAAAATGGAAGAAAAATTAGTTCCTACATTTTCAAATATGATGTCTTTTAGATGCACCATTTTACTTTTTTGACTATACACAATTAGTATATAATAAATTAGTCATTCCCTGAATAACTTCAAGGTTCCACTAATTTTTTTAAAGTATTTTTAGTAAGTGAGCATTTTTTAACTACACCTAGAAAAAAAGAAAGAGAGGAAAACTGGACAGTTGACCCCTAACTCTAGAGATGTCTTATTGAAATCTTGCACTGGGGATATGTTAAGACTTAGCTGATCCAGGAACACGCGCTTGCCCTTACCTTCTAAAGCCTCAGCCACAGGTTGTGGTCACCTGGGCCAGAGAAAGTGATTACAACACTTGCTTGGTGCCTGCATTGGCTATCCTGTGACCTCTTGGACATAAATAGTGGCAAGTGGAACTTACGAAAATCAATATATGCTATTTAACCTTTGACATTCTAATTTTCATACCTGGTTTTAACGTTTTTACTGCTACTGGGGTGGTATTGTTCCATAGGCCTTCCCACACTTCTCCAAACTGACCGGATCCTAATCGCTTCAAAAGCTGTACAGAGTTTCGGTCTATCTCCCACTGGTCCACAGTTTTATACGACAAATCAAAAGGAGCTGGAACTTGTATCTGTTTCACAGAATAATTAGAATACTTGTTAAGAAAAAATATCAACAATTTTTGATTAAAAATAATAATCTACATACTTTAAAAAAAAGATTATTTTTAAAAACAAAATTTCATAAATTTTATTCTAATTACTTTAAAATGGAAACGGTGTGGCAGAATCTGTATCATTACCTCTTCAAGCTGGTCTCGCCTCAAGTCCTGCTAACTCAGATACTTTGCTGTCCATCTGTCCCACCCCACACTCAATGTCTCCCTTGCATAGGTCTGGCATGATTTCTTTCTGCCTCTTTGCCTAGCTAAATCCTTTCAATTTCACAGCCAAAGTGAAGTTTCCACCTGATCCACAATCATTTCCCAAACTCTTGGGCCTAAAACATTTATTTTTGCATAATTAAAAAGTTCATCTTTTTTTAAATTCATTTGTTTGTTTATTAGTTCATTTACTCATCTACTTAATAAATAAATATTTTTTATGTACCAATTATGTTCCATTCTGTAAACAAAACAGGCAAGGCCTCTGCTCTCTTAGAGCTCATAGTCTAGTTTATCATCTACCATTGGAAATTTATCTTATCTCCTCCACCAAGTCATAAGCATCTTCAGTGCATGGAAGACTGCCTATGCCTCTTTGTTAAAATTTTACCTCACCAGAAATCAAGAATACTGGTTAAACTGAGTATTTTGTAAGCTATTTCTTTGTATATGAGCTTTTTATATAAGCTCTATCTGTAAGCTATTTCTTAGCATGCACTTCGATACTTTCGTGGGGTCATTCCTGTACCATCTAAGATGTATATATACCAAAATGGCATATCAACTTGGCAGGATTTAACTCAATAAATTCTGTACATACTAGACAAAATTCTTCAGCTTCTATTTGTCCAGAAAATTCTGATCTGGCCTCACCATGAAGCTTTCTTTCACCAATCATCCAGATAAAAACCATAGGGCTGGCTGTCCCACCAACAGTATAAAAGACCTGAACTCTGAGGAGGAGCTGCGGGCTTGCCCCACTATAGTACATGACTACTACATAATTTCCAATACATTTAGATAAAACATGCAAACAACTAAATGACAGATATAGATAAGTTCTACATCTGTATAGCCAGACCAAACAATCAAACTATTAGAACAATTAGTTAAATGATATCTATATGCAGACAACTCAACCAAATAATAAACCTGGCAATTTCATATTAATATTCTTGAATACAGATCTAAATAAAAATTATATTCTAACACTTTTTTTTCCTCCAACCGTATCATTAAGCGCTCCAATAGCAGGATACCTGATTAATGTCTTAGTGCAAAGGATAAATATTTCCTGTCTTGAATAATTGCCTTAGCTCAAGGGTTAGCAAACTTTTTCTGAAAATAATAAGATAGCAAATATTTTAGGCTTTGTCAGCCAGATAGTCTCTGTTGCAACTACTAAATTCTGTTGTTACTGTGAAAAAGAAAAGACAATTTGTAAATAAATGATTATGTCTATGTTCCAATAAAATGTAATTAAAAAGTAAGTGAAGGACAGTATTGACTCATGGGCCATAGTCTGCATATCCATGCCTTAGATAACCAAATGCCATTGTTTTTATTTTCCTGAACTGACATATCACATGAAATATACTCCAATATCTGAAGGAAAAAAAGTTAACTTCAAAATAAATGAACACAGCTTGAAAGCATTTCACCTTTAAGCATGGTTTTCCCAGTTTGACACACAGGCCATCACTCGTCGTGGTGTAGTGGCTCACAAATTCATTCAGTGTTGAAAAGGTTTTTCTCCGAGTAAGGAAAAAGCCCCCTTCATCCAGTCTTCTGATTCTGTAGTGTTTCACAACTGTTTCGTCTAAAACTGGAACCCAAAATAAGTCTTGTTAATAAACTTCTTGCCAAAGCCAAACAGATTTACTTATTTTGTGGTGACAGTTTCAATGCATGGAATAATGTGTGTATTTATATGTATGTGGCTTTGTTTCAGAAAAAATTTCAGGAAGTTTACAAAGGACATATAGCAGAATAAAAAAAGAAAAAAGTTGAGAAAGCATTTTTTAAAGGAAATATAAAATAATAATAAAGGAGTGAGGTTAGCAGTAAAAAAAACTCACGCTTTGAAGCCTAGTATGCTTGACTAAAACAAGCCATAAAATTGACTCTATCATTCTAACAATACAATGAAGGAAACATCAGTTTAAGAAATCACAGTGTTCATAAGATGAAATCGCAAAAGATGTTTAGAAACAATTCAACTCTTCTTGGTACAGAGACTGAGGAAAATTTTCTCCCATGAAATCCTATGACATGTACAATGAAATAGAAAAAACAGTGCTCTCAGTACTATCCTACAATACTATAAGAAATTCTGCAGAGCTATTCATTCATTATACTGTCTCTCAATGTACTCTGATAACAGAATGTTCTAGCACAGTTCAGTAAAAGCAAATCTACAGGGCCTAAAATGATGTAGTCCACATATACAATTTTCTAGCAGTTTTGCTTAATCCAAGGGTAAGTCCTATAGCATCTAGAGGAACAGGCTGCCTGCCCTTGTTTAAGTCACCTGACTTGCATTGTTTTGTTGCTTTTGCCTGACATTAACCATTGTCCCTTCTGGTGATGGCATCCCAATATGCTTCGAAGAATCATTGCTCCTCTAAGAGCATGTAGTCTAGAGAGACCTGGTGCCAATGTTGAGCTGAGAAAGGCACAATCGGAGCCAAGAAGATTGGATTCCAGGACTTGTGTTAGAGAGCTCTGGAAAGACAGGAAGAACTTTGTTTTTATGGTTGTTGTTTTGTTTTTGTTTCTGTTTACCTGGTGGGAGTTTGGAGCTACCGACAAAATTCTTGCCCCTCAGACAACAAGAGAGGTTGCCTTTGAAGATATGATGCTCAGTGGAAAAGCAGAGTCTTGATAGAAAAAGTGAAGCTTAACTCTCGAAGCCGGCCGAGCCTGGCTTGTCAGCTACAAGTCAATTAATTAATTATCTTTCTTGCTTTAGTTTGAATCAAGTTTTCTGTACTCGCCTTCAAAATATTGACTTAAGCACTTGATAGCTACTCTTTCACTCAGTGAAGTTATTAATAAATACTGAGCAGAATTTACCAAGAATATAGATATTCTGAATCCCTTGCTAAATATAGAAACATACGCTTCGATAATCAGTAATGCCAGAGCAATACTCTCATGAAAGTAAGAAGGCTGAGAAGATATCTCAGTCCCAGCATAAGGGTTTACTGAGGGCATGTCAATGGTTAGCACAATACTTTCCTCAAAAAAATAATTGGCACACACCAGGATAGCTGTAATGAGAAAAGGCAATATCAAGTGTTAACAAGAAAGTGGAGTAACTGGAATTCTCTCTACACAGTTGATGAAAGTGTAAAATTACAAAAAAAAACCTGTTTGTCATGATCTGCTAAAGTTGAAAATAATTAAACCTATAATATGGTAATTTCACTCCAAAGTATATAATCAACAAAAATGCACAATATATTTACCAAAACACATGTATAAAAATGCTTTTAGTGGCCTTTTTTTGTAAGAACCTAAACAGAAACAATCTAAATGTCCATCAACTGTAGACTGGACTAATAAATTGTTATATATGTGTCCAGTGGAATACTATAAATATTTATAAATAAATAAACTATAAATATACAATAACATTAAGGAATCTCACAAATACAAAAGTATGATTCCATTATTTAAAGATGTAAAACAAGCAAAACTATTGATATTAAGAGTCAGACTGGGTTGTTGGTAACATTCTATTTCTGAATGCTGATTACAAGCCTATATTCACTTTATGAATGTATATCAAACTAAACTCTTATGAATTGTGCCATAAATCAACTTTATTACGTCATAAATCAATTTTTAAAGATATGGGGAAAAAAGGTTATTTGCTCCAGTTGATGGACAAATGGAAGATCACATTCTCAAAGTGCCAGCCACCTCATGATGCATGCTAAATTATTTCAGTCTGGAAAGTTATTAAGGCAAATATTATATATTTATATAATGGAATATTATTCGACCCTTAAAAAAGAAGGAAATCTTGTCATTTGCAACATGAACGAAACCAGAGGGCATTGCGCTAAGTGAAATAAGCCAGAAAAAGACAAATACTGCATGGTATCATTTTTATGTGGCATCTTTAAAAAAAATTTGAAATTGTAGAAACAGTGAGTACAAAAGAAGTTGCCAGGGGCTGGGCAGTGGGAAGAATAGGGAGAAGTTGATAAAAGGATACAAACTTTCAGCTGTAAGATGAATAAGTTCTGAGGATCTAATGTGTAAAATGGTGATTTTAACTGATAATGCTGTGTTATATAATTGAAATTTGCTAAGAGAATAGAACTTAAATATTCTCACAAAAAAAAGATAAATATGATGAACATGTTGGATGCGTTAATGAGCTTGATGGGGGAAATCCTTTCACAATATGGCAATATAGCACAATATAGCAAATCGTGTTGTACGCTTTAAATGTCTTACATTTTTTTTTGTCAATTATACCTCAATAAAAAAAAATCATATTCGCATACAGGAAAATATTTTACTTTCAGTTCTTTATATTAAAATACAGAGGGGAGAAGTACATCTAGCTCCTCTAAAAGAAATATAAGTTTCTTAAATTACAATTTTTGAGTATCTGGAACACATTTTATACTCTCTGATTTGTCAAGTTACCTTTCCTACTGACTATGACTTTGGGGCAATGTTAATTGCTCTGTATAATCATTACCAAAAAGAGGAATTTCGTTAAGATATAGAGCTAAGTTCATAACAGATTCCTGTATATGGATTAAAGGGGTAATTAAAAAATCAAAGAGAGCTCTGAACAATATTAGTCTCAATTCATTTGTCCAGAAAGTAATAAAAATATTAGAAGTACAAAGGTAGCTAAATATAAAGTATACCTGCAATTTATATAAATTATTGGCCTGAAAATTCAATCTTTGCCATTCATCAAAAAGAAAAGTGTACCAATTATAGCTGAAATGTCTAGCAAGCCAACAGGACTATTTTTAAAAAGCAATTTTAAAAATTCCCCATTTTGAAACAAAATGGACCATATCCAGTTCCAAATTGAAGTAGACCACATGGAAATTAAACATAAACTTAAGAATTCCTTTTTACTGTAGCACAAAAGACCTAAAGGTTTCCAAGCTAGAGTCTAAAGTCCATATATGACTGAAGGGTCAAAGTTCTCTTTGTGATTTCCTTAATAAGGGATGCAAATCACAATGATTGATATTGATTATAAAGAAAGCCTAAATAAATGTTTGTCAACTTTTTGTAGTTAAAGGTTTAAATGCTCAGTTGTAAAAACCCATTCTTTGCAATACATCTAGAGTTGTCAAGAACAATAAAAGTAATTTTGTTTAATTGAAAAGGCTAGAGATGGAGAGATGGGAGACCCAAGTTACAATTTAACTAGTGTATTACCAAAACATGTGACTCTCCCTGGGCTTCAGTTCCTTTGTCATTAAAATAAAAGAGCAAGCTTTAAGAAATCTCCAAATTTCCAAATGTTTACACCTTAGTCTTTAAATTTTCTAGTGGCTGTTGTTTGCTTCCTCTGCATTCCCACTTCTTTTTTAGTCCTTTCACAAAACTTAATTCTCACCTTGAAGACTTTTTTTTTTTTCACATGAACACCACTTGAATGCTTTTCCTATGAATCTTCTATTAGCCCACTCCTTCCTTCAGGTCTCAATTTAAATTCTCAGAATCAGCCTTCCCCACTCCCCCTCTGAAATATACCTCTACCTAGCCCTTTTCTATCACATCACCCCATTTAATAGTATTTATATATTTATAGTACCCTGTGATGGTATTTATCTTAGTAGCCTGCTAAGGGGCAGGGCCTCTGCTGTCTTAATCCAATATCCACTCAGAGCTTGGTACAGACTAACAACTAACAAACCACCTGCTAGATAAATAAATGATGTCATTAACTCTTAGATTTGAATTGAAATATAAGTTTCTGAAATATCTGCTGCAAAATCAAATAGGCAATTATACAAATACTTTCAAAGAATTCCCCAGAATTTTATATTTAAAGGAGGGAAAACAAACTTAGCCCCAGGAGATAAATACTTTTAGAGTACAGTCATTCATGTTTATATCTAATTTCTTGATTTTTTACTATGTAACAGAAATAACTACTCCATCTCTTACTGACATCAAGGATATTTACATGTGGTTCATTCAAGTTTTCAGTCTTGACAAAACTGATAGATGCATGTAATTTGAAAATTAGACCACGGAATCTACTTCAGGGAAATTCAATACACTGTCATCAGGATGAAGATACTTTTAATATTGGATTCTTGAGTAATAAAATCCAAAATATCTGATTGTTTTTTTTAAAGTGGTTTTAATTTTTTAGTAGTGAGTCCACACATTTTCACTGACATTCTTAATAAAGATTGAATTCAGGGGTTCTCAGACCTAGGGAGAAATAAATTTTCTATTCCTTTTCTGGTTCATTGCAATCTTTCCAAACCTATTCCGAAGTCTCTAGACTATAAGTGAATGATAATGCTTGTGTCATTCTTATTATGAATTACTTTGCATTCAAATTATTTAAGCATTTTAGTAGTGCCACCTGCAAAAAACATAAAACTAACTATGAAATATAATGGAATCATCCATCAAAAAACTCAGTAGTATCATGATTGAATGAATTGAGTTAAAGGCCAGGCGTCCTGAATTTACATCTTGACTCTCATTTATGCTATTTGATCTAGGGGAAAATGTTTCACCTGTCAACTGATTAACCTACCAAGAATTAGTATATATTGCAGAGATACAGGTAAGCACGGACGAGGAGTACAATAAATG